TAGAGAACCTCCAACTTTCAGTCCTCATGGATCAATTCAGCTCACTAACTCACTCACTGAAAATACGTATCGGCTGCCTTCTGTGCGCTGGGCACAGACACCGCGGTGAGTAAGACACGGGTGGCCCTTGTCCTCGTGGAGCTTATATTTTCGAAAGATAAAGATAATACACAAAAATAAGATAGTGTCAAGTAATGATAAGAAAAATGAAAAACAAGAAAGCAGGAGTAAGGGGGGGGTGGGCGTAGAATGCCTGTAAGTATGGCCGCTGACAATTTCTCCCATCTCTGTGGGCACCGGCCACTCTCCCCATCAAGAGAAGGAGTCTGTCCTCTCCCCTTGTATCTGAGCTGGCCTTGCGACTGCTTTGATCAGCGGAATGTAACATCCTGGGACTTCCAAGCCCAGGCCTTAAGAGGTGGCAGCTTCTACTTTCTCCTCCTCAGAGCCTCGAGCTACCATGTAGAGGTCCCGCTACGCTGCTGGAGGGAGCCCACGGAGAGGCGGGCCACATGGAGATGAGCCTGAAGCCATCGAGAACATTCCAGCCCCAGTGGCGCTCCAGCTGACTGCAGCCACAAGAGTGGTCTCAGCCAACGCTACCTGGGAGCAGAAGAACCATCCAGCGGAGCCCAACCAACCCACAGACTTTTGAGAAATAATAAATCATTGCTTTAGGCCACTAAATAGCCAAATGATTCGGGGGAGGGAGTGTATTACTTTTGATAGAATGTTCTGGGAGGAGCCATATGAGAAGGTGACATTCTGTTTGAGAGAGAGCTGCATGAAGGAAGGAAACAAGCCACGTGGCCATCAGGGGGAGAGCAGTCCAGGCGGACGGCATGGAGGTGCCAAGGCCCCGAGGCAGAACCGAGCCTGGTGTCTGGGAGAATCATGGTGGCTGGTGTGGCTGGGGCAGTGTGATGAGGGAGCGAGTTCTAGAAGGATTTATTCCCCTGGTACCTGGGAGAGAACCAAAGGCCTGCTGAGGAGTGTCGTGAGGGTGGGCCAGCCGTGAGGTAGGGATCCTTCCGCACCCAGCAATACAATTTGATTAGAACAGGGGCCAGGACTGGGGCCAACAAGTGAGACACTGCCCTGGGTGCAAAATTAAAGGAGGAGGAGGAGCTCAATAAATAATATTTTAATGAGGAGAAGGAGGAGAACTGAAGGCCAATTTGGCCTTACCTCTTAATGAATGAACTGCACTGGTTCCTTCAACCCAGCATCCTCCCACCGACAACGTTTAAGGACCGAAGTAATTGCACTGACTTCTCCATGGGGTCTGCGGGGGAGAAGGGATGTCCAGAGACCCTGGCCTGGGTAAAGGTGACGAGAGTCGGGGGGAAGGTAGGGGAAGCTGGTCATTGAACCCCGACTCACCATTTCTTTATTTATTTAACTTTTTAAATTTATTTTTTTAAGAGAGAGAGACGGAGGGAGAGGGAGAGAGAGAGAGAAAACTATGATGAGAGCGGGCTGCCTCCTGCATGCCTCCCACTGGAGATGGTGGAGCCCAAAACCCAGGCATGTGCCCTGACCTGGAATCAAACTGGCAACTTTCCCCAGACACAGGATGGCGCCCTGAACCACACCGGCCGGGCCAGCTCACCATTTCTCACTTTTAATCTCTGTGTCACTTTTGATCGCAGTTCAATATACATTTTAGACTTTCATTTAAATGTATGAAAGGGCCCTATCTTCCACGCTTCTAGAGTCTCTTAGAAACCTCTGACCCGTAGCACATAACAATGAGCACTGCGTCATCAGGGCGCCTGCTGCTGACTCGCTCACGGCGGAGGGAAGGAAGGAAGCAACGTGAACCCCGCAGCGGGCCTGACGGAATAGGCGCTGGCACAGCCGGGCCAGGCCATGTGAGCCACACCTGCAGCCATTGGGGGGAATCAAGTGACCTGGGGGATCCCCAGAGGTGCTGCTGAGAACAGCAAGAGGCAGAGAGCTGTGGCTGATATTTGAGAGGCCCAAACACCCTGTCCACCTATATGACAGAGACATGACACAAATATGTCACATGCTATAGCTATGGCAGATGTATGTACAATATAGTCATGACATATGCATATATGTAGACATATATATCGATATCAATACATCTATATGGATTTACCTACACATCTACATGGGATTATTTGGGAAATAATGGAAAGAGATATAGGAGGTTAACATGCTTTCCTGGGGTGGGGGTCCCTGGGAGAGTCTATGGGGGAGAAAAGAGGGAGAGAAGAGAAAAGTAAAAGGGAAAGACTTGATTTAAAACATAGAAAGCACGCGGGTCTGTAGCAATAGAAATCCATGTTTAGGGGAGAGGTTATCTCAGGGGAGAGGAGAGGGTGTCAGGGGGGGGCCCCGGGGACCCCCACTGTCCCGATGTCTTGTCCTTCAGTGAGCGCCGAGAGGCACGGCTGAGTCTTTGTTTGTTTCTGTGTGTGTGTAAGATAATGGGGCCGTGTAACTTGAAAAGTGTTAGAAATGTACAATAAAATCAAATCCTCTGCCCGAGTTCGCTTCACCCCGCCCCGCAGTCCCTTTCCCTCCCTGCAGACTCCAGGCCACGCTCCTGAAATCCGCTTCCTCTGCAAGCATTTCCTGAGCACCTGCCTGCTCAATGACGAAGGAGCAGATCCTGGCCTGTCCCTGGGGCCTCCAGTCTCACAGAAACAGCGCCTGCCTTCCCCGCCCCTCACGGCACCCGGCTCCCCTGCACCCCACCCCAGGGCGGACATCCTCCACACAGAGGCCTTCCAGGTGGCAGGTGGGGCTTTTGGGTGGGACATACATCCTGCCTGTAGCCCCAGGGCGTTCCTCCCAGTGACAATAGGAAAGGCTGCTGTTACTTGTCAGGACTCTCCATGGTACCATCCGATTTCTACGCCCGTATCAGCTCTTACACCAACTCTGTCGGCAGGAACCAAGTCCCTCCTCCTGGACTGTTTTCTGCCACCAGGTATTGGGGTGCTTTGGTGCACAGCCCCAGTAACTGTAAGGCCCCCCTTTCTTTCTCTCCAGCTCCCCTCCTTCCCTCTTTTCTCTCCCAGCCCTCGCAACACAGCGTAAGCCATTCCCTGTATGAAACTGCTTCTGTTGAGCCACCTAAGATGCTTTTTCTTGTCCTAACTGATCCCTATTGACCCCCTTTTTCTTTGCTAATAGAACCCCGTTTTGTCCAGAACCTGAGGCAGCCACGGACCTTCTGAGAGACTGGGCCTCTCTCACCGCCAGGGACTGAATCTTCGGACAAAGTGACTCAGGACAATCCGTTACCGTGCCAGGGGTGGGCCGGCTCAGGTCTTGCGGGGACATGAGGGAAGCCTGCTAGGAGCTGGGGTTTGTGGGGAGACCAGGACTGGAGGCCGCCTCTTCCCGCCTTGCATGTGGCAGCGCGAGGTCATGGTGTGGGACCGCGGCATCTTCACGCCACACCGGCATCCGAGGCGGGCAGGGCAGCGGCAGGCGGTGGGCGATGCCTTTGAGCTGCTCAGTGGATGACCCTGAGTTGCCTGCCTCCATTCTCTCGGTGGTGGGCACCGCATTCGCTAGTCTTTACTGCTCGGGCCTCAGGCCTTTGTTGGCGTTCCCTCCGCCTGGAATGCCCCCACCCCTGCCCCAGCCACCTTGCACGGGCCCTCTCCCTCACCCCTTTCAGGTCCTTTATTTCGGCCATCACCTCCTGAGACCCCCGTATAAGCGCACCCCTGTCCCAGCACTCCCCATTCCTCTCCCTGCACTGTTTTCCCCACAGCTCTCGTCACCCTCTGGCGTGTTATAATGATGAGAGAATATTTTACTGGGCACCCCCGTGTCTAGAACTGCTTGATGGATAAATGGGTCAGTAGGTGTTTGTCAGATGGGGGCTGATGAGTTGCTTCCGTTCTCTTGGTTGGACTTTCCATCACTTTCCGCTGAATGGTTCCTGGAGCTCCCTGTCCTGACCTCTGCTCCCTCCTTTGGGTCCGATGCTGGCGCTAACAGGACGCGGGCGCCAGGGGGGGGAATTGGGCTGATGCCGCCCTGGCTCCCAGACAGTCACCTGCAGGCGCCCTGGGGCCCGGGCCTGGCCTCTCCTGGCCCCAGAGGAGAGAGCAGACCACCTCGCAGCCTGATGGAGGCTGCAGCCACCGACAAGGAAACCCAAACCACGCGGTTTGTGCGATGAGATTCATTCAGATCTGCGACAGTGGGACACGGAGCCCAGACAGAGGGGCCGTGGTGGGCGGAGGGAGCTGTAAAGGCCTGGAAAGGGGGTGCACTGGGTCCTCAAGCCCCACCGTGGCTGCCCAGGACGTGGCTAGACCCTAAAGAGGGAGGCAGAGGAGGAGGGGCTGTTTCCCAGACAGCCTGGGGGTGGCCTGGTGTTGGGGGGCCCCCCTGGAGGAAGAGGCCTGGCCTGGGGGAGGAGGTTCGCCCCTTGATTGATTCACCAGCTTCTGGGCCCCTGGCAAGTCCTGGCAGAGGGAGCCCGGGTGCCCCCTAGCGACGAGCGGAACCAGCGGGGGCTCCGGGCGAGCGGCCGGGCGGGGTGCTAGGCGAGGGCGCGGGCGACCAGCGCCACCAGCGCGGGCAGGGCCAGGCCGGGGCCCTGCGCCAACGAGCTCGAGGAGTCGATGACCGCGCGTTTGCTGGAGCTGCAGTCGGGCCTGCGGGCGAGCCGGTGGCCGGGGAGCGCCCGGAGCCCCTCCGTCCCGTGGGGGGCACTGCACAGGTCGCGGGATCCGCAGCCCCGCACGCTCAGGTTCCTGCCGCCTGCGGGACGGAGATGCGGGGGAGGGAGTGAGGGGCGCAGGCGCGCAGGCAGGTGTGGCCTGCAGGCGCCAGCCCGCACCCTCCATCCCCGATATCAAGGTTTCTCTGATGGAGCAAATTACCCTGCAATTCCCTCCAGCCCCTCACAGTGGCCTGTGTCCCCAGGTCAGAGCCTTGCTGAGATTTGGGGAAAGAAAACTGACACTTCAAATAGCTCAGTGGATAGAGCGTCGGCCTGAGGACTAAAGGGTCCCGGGTTCGAATCCTGTCAAGGGCACATGCCGGGTTGCAGGCTCGATCCCCAGTAGGGGGCGTGCAGGAGGCAGCCAATCAATGATTCTCTCTCATCACTGATGTTTCTATCTCTCTCACCTTCTCCCTTCCTCTCTGAAATCAATAAAAAAATATATATTTTTAAAAGATTAAATTTAAAAAAAAATATAGGAAACATGGGAGGGAGTGGCAGACCCTGGATTCCGTGCCTTTTGGGAAACTCACTAGAGGTGTCTGAGCCTTGAGCTGGGCCGGGCACAGCCGCTCTTCACTGGCACTCGATGCCTTACCCGTGTTACAGGTGTTCCTTTCCTGTGTCCAATGTTAGTAAAAACTGACACCTGTCCCTGACCGGTTTGGCTCAGTGGATAGAGCGTCAGCCTGTGGACTGAAGGGTCCCAGGTTCGATTCCGGTCAAGGGCATGTACCTTGGTTGCGGGCACATCCCCAGTGGGGGTTGTGCAGGAGGCAGCTGATCGGTGTTTCTCTCTCATCGATGTTTCTGACTCTCTATCCCTCTCCCTTCCTCTCTGTAAAAAATCAATAAAATATATTTAAAACAAAAACAAAAAAAAACCTGACACCTGGCGGCCACTATTTCACACAGCCGGCTTCGTGTACAGTTTCCCAGTGATTCCTATGCTTCTTCAGAGCCGCACGGTGTAATATAGTGTCATATTCCATATAAATACACATATACAAATGTAGCCGGTTTACTGAGGACTTGATGGGGGATAGGAAAGCGACACGGTCTTATTTTACCAACAAAAAACACCTCACCACAATCGTAGGTTATTTTTCAGCCCTTTTAGGGATGCAGATGAAAATCCTCATGGTTGAAGTGATAAAATACCTGAGTTTGTGTTCAAAATAACACAGGGACTGGCCATGAATGCATCATCTCTGGAGTTGGGTGGAGGGTATATGGGGGTTTACTGAACTGTTCCCTCTTTTTTTATTTTTTTTATTTTTGTAATTATTATTATTTTTTTTATTGCTTAAAATATTTGTTCCCTCTTTTTTTATCTTTGAACTTCTCCATACCACGAAAGCTAAAAAGAAATGGAAGCCTCCCAGCCTGGTCTGTCTTTGTCTCATTTTGCCCTGAGCTAGAATATACTTCCTCAAAGAGCCGTGTGTGTGAGGCATTGTCCCACACCCACCCTCACGCCCAGCCGCCCACACGTGCCCACATGCACACACATCCCAGTCACACGCAGCTCCCCTCATGTCCCCAGAGCCCACATACAATTCACACAAGCACAGCTGTGCACCTGTCCACCGGCGTGTCACCCCTGCCCGGGAAACACAGGCACACACAGGCACACACAGCACTGGGCTTACACCCCCAGGCTCCGCACATCCGGTCCTTGAGCAATGTTGATGGAAGACCTGTCCGCTTCACCGCCTCACTTAAGCCTCACCCGCACACAGCAGTCACGACCTCTGACGTTGACTTGCGTCAGTTCTGAGAGGCACATCCCCCCTTAAACCCACACATTTCGACATTTCTGAGTAGAGCTGACTTCCTGTCTCCCTCCCCATCGATACCATCTGAGATTCGCTGAAATGCCGTACATCACACTTGCTATGGCCTAGAACAGCCGTGGGCAAACTACGGCCCGCGGGCCGGATACGGCCTGTTTGAAATGAATAAAACTAAAAAAAAAAAAGACCGTACCCTTTTATGTAATGATGTTTACTTTGAATTTATATTAGTTCACACAAACACTCCATCCATGCTTTTGTTCCGGCCCTCCGGTCCAGTTTAAGAACCCATTGTGGCCCTCGAGTCAAAAAGTTTGCCCACCCCTGCGGCTAGTAGTTAGAGGGTCTTGATTCCCAGTCAAGGCACGTACCTCAGTTGCAGGTTCAAACCCTGGCCCCAGTCGGGGTGTGTGAGGGAGGCAACCAGATGATGTGTCTCTCTCAGATCAAAGTCTCTCTCTCTATCTGTCTCCCCCTCCTCCCTTCTTTCCACTCTCCCTCTAAAGATCAATGGAAAAAAATATCTTTGGGTAAGGAATATATATATACACACACACACACACACACACACACACACACATATATATAACTAAATTAATTTAATCTGTTACTTTGTACTTTTTAAATGCAGCCTCTAGAAAAGTTTAAATTATACATGTGGCTCACAGTATATTTCTTTTGGGCAACACCCATCTAGAAGTTGTATGAATCATCTTACCTAATTTTCACAACAGTCTTATGAACTAGGGACTATAATTATCCTCTTTCTCAGATGGGAAATTGAGGCACAGAGAGGCAAAGCCACCTGCCCAAGACCACCCAGCTCCTGAGTGGTGTAGATTCGGGATTTGACCCCAGGCAGCCTGGCCCCAGAGTCCTGCGTTATGCCCCCTGCTTTCCCGCCTCTCTCACGCACTCACTTCCTCCTCACAAAACCCCGTGGGGTGTGTTTCCACTTACTCCCATTTACCAGAAGGGAAAACTGAGGCTCAATGAGATGAAGCCACTGATCTTTGGTCACACAGCGTGAATGATAGAGGTGGGCCCCAAACTCAGACTCACTCACGCACATGTGCTCACACCAGACACACACGTTACCTTCTTCAGACACCAGGTCCAGCTGGACACACGTGGTCTCCCCACTGGGACACTGCATGTACAAGGAGGAGTTGCAGAGCCCCAGGTGGCTGTCAGCACATATAGGACACAGGAACTTGCTCAGGGTGCGCGAGGCCGGCAGCGTTGCTGTATAGAGGAGGGTGGCGGTCAGCCGGGCGGACTCTCGGGACCTCTCAGGCCCGCCCTGCACTCATCGGCTCTACCACGGGGAGCCACTGTCCTGGCCTTTCCCACTGAGCAGGGTCAGTGTCTTAGCGCCGTGGCCGGCAAACTGCGGCTCTCGAGCCACATGCGGCTCTTTGGCCCCTTGAGTGTGGCTCTTCCTAAGCCTTAGGAGTACCCTAATTAAGTTAATAACAATGTATCTACCTATATAGTTTAAGTTTAAAAAATTTGGCTCTCAAAAGAAATTTCAATCGTTGCACTGTTGATATTTGGCTCTGTTGACTCATGAGTTTGCCGACCACTGCCTTAGGGCAGCCTGATTGGGGGGAGGGGCTTAAGTGCTGCCCCGCCCCCCTGCCTTCTTCAGCCCAGGACAAACTCTCCTCCAGGCACCACCACCCGCTCGGCCACCCATCTGACTACCCATCTGACTACGTTCCGGTGGCAGCATACCCGGAGGAGGGGGCTCCTGGCAGCTGCCTTGGCAGCAGGTGGTGTTGACCCAGAAGCCGAAGCCGATGCTGTAGGTCAGGGCAGAGATGGGGCTGTCAAATCTGCAGTCCTTGGAGGCCACGCAGGAACCGTTTCTCCAGGCGACAGAGTCACCTTCCCCTAAGGCTGGAGAGATTCGGAAGCGGACTTATAAGGAAGAGCAATCACAGCCGCCAAGCTCCGAGGGGTGTCACTGCGGCATTCGCTCTGCCTGAGATCACCCCGATACACACAAACCCTGTCGTTGTTCATCGAGACACACGGTTCAGAGAGCCTTCCTCCCCGCCTCCTCCCCTTGGGGTCCCAGTGAGCAGGTGGCTCTGGATCTGCGATGTCTGAGCAACCTGCCTGTGGGCACCGAGCTCCCTGAGCCAGAGCCTCCTCGGGGACCCCAGAGGTGCCCAGCCTGGTCCCCATCCTCACTGTTCCCATCGATACCGCTGGCATTCCTGTTTATTCTACTTCTGTGTCTCTTGAAATTTATACCAAAGAAAGACTGGTTTCTAGTTCAACTCCTCTTCCCTTAACAGAAATGTCCAGTTTCTCCTTTACGGGGCAGATGGACAGATGACTTGGGGGCTCCCTGCCCAGGATGTTGCAGTAGATTTCAAGATGGCCACACTGTGTCTCCCATCCCACACGCTTTTTTTTGGCACATGACCTTATCCCTGGTGCATCAAGAGGTGCAATCTCTTTCCTCATTCCTGAACCCTGAGCAGGCCTCATGGCTGCTTCTGACCAACAGACTGTGGCAGAAGCGACACTGTGCCGGCTCTGGGCTTAATCTTAATAAGCAGCCGGTAGCCCTGGCCGGTGTGGCTGGAGCATCAGCCCACTCCCCGAAGGGTCTCAAGTTTGATTCCTGGTCAAGGGCGCATGCCTGAGTTACAGGTTCAATACCGGGCCCCGGATGGGGTGAGTTCGGTAGGCAACCAATCGATGCGTCTCTCTCTCTCTCTCTCTCTCTCTCTCTCTCTCTCTCTCTCTACCTCCCTTCCTTCCACTCTTTCTAAAAATCAATGGAAAAAATATCCTTGGGTGAAGATTAAAAAATAAAATAAATTGAAGACGCTGGTTTGTACTTCTTCCTTCTTGGAAGCCAGACACCATACTGTAAGGAAGCTCAACGAGGCTACAGACTAATGAGGGGCCACGTGGAGAAAGGCTGGTGAGAGGGGGAAGGGGAGAGTCTGAAGTGAACGCTCCAGCCCCAGTTGAGTTCCCAGCTGAATGCAGCCACATACATGACCTCAGCCTGCACTCCCTGGAGCAGAGCTGCCCAGCCGGGCCTGGGCAGCCCACAGAATGGTGGGAAATAATAAACCATAGTTTTACGCCATGAAGTTTTTTTTTAAATTGTGGTAAAAACAAAACACGTAATATAGAATTTACAGTCTTAACCATTTTAAGTGCACAGTTTAGGGGTGTTACCTGGATCAATATTGTGAAACAGATCTCTAGAACGACTTCATTTGGCAAAACTAAAACGCTTTACCCATCCAATAGCAATGCCCATTTCCCTCTCCCCCAGCATTCTACTTTCTGTTTCCCTGGTTTGACTAGTCTAGATCCTCGTATAAGTGAAATCAGATAGTATTTGTCCTTTTATGGTTAAGTCACTACTTTTGTCTGTTTGTTGTTTCTTTCCTTTTTTTTTTTTTTTTGTGCCGAAACCCAGGACCGAACTATTTTTCTATTACGTTTGGCATGCAACATTCTATTCGTTTCAGGTGTACAACATGGTGATTGGACAGGTATGTACCTTACAGGTGGTCACCTCAGTAAGTAAGTAGCCATCCGACACTGTACATAGTCCTTACCGTGTTAGTGACCACATTCCCTCTGCTGTACTTTCCATCCCCGCGACTATTTTAATGACTGGCAATTGGTACTTCCTAATCCCTTCACCTTTTTCACCCAGCCCCCCGCCTCCCGCCTATGTGACAACCACCAATTTCTTCTCTGTATCTCCGAGTTTGTTTCTGTTTTGTTGGTCGAGCCACTGTGTTAGGAGTTGATTTATTATTCAGCAATAAATAGCCAAATAAATGTGGCATCAGATTTTAAACTCTCATCCTCCCCTGCCACCAGCCTCTGTCCTCCGCGGGCAGGAAAAGGCGGCTGTGACTGCAGTAGAGGCAGCAGGCCCGGGAGGGCAAGGAGAGGCTTGCTGTGCCCCAGGCCCTGCTTCGGCCTCCCCTCCCCAGCCCCTCCCAGGGACGCTCACCCAGGATGCCCGCCGTCTGAAGGCAGTAGCTCCTCTCTGCCGGGCAGGAGAAAGGGTGGCAATGGTCGCTGTCCGAGCAGGTGAAACAGGTGGTGGCCTTAGCCTTGCTGTGGGTCGAAGTTGCTCGGGTATCTGGGGAGAGAGGAAGATGAGCTGCTGGAGGACAATGGGGATGGAACGTACAGCAGAGGGAATGTGTGTGTGTGTGTGTGTGTGTGTGTGTGTGTGTGTATGCGCGCACACACATTTCTAGGCACCTCGGTATGTGCCTGTGATTGTGTAACTACACCGGGTGTGTGCACTTCTGCCATGACGCAGTTTGTGTGTAGCAGCGTGCAGGCCTGTCTCTCTGTGCACGTGTGGCTGTGGTGCCCATGTTGAACTCTGTGTGTTCTGGAACTGTCCGTGGGAGGATGGGGTGTTTGTGTGTGCGTCTCCATGGGCCCCTGTGGGAGCAGGTGTGCATGTGTGTACCTGTGTGAAGAGAGCACGTTTTTATGTGCATGTGTGTAAGGCTGGTTGTGTGTGTGTGTGTGTGTGTGTGTCTGTGTGTGTCTGTGTTTCCAGTGAGGCGTGGGGAGCTTGGAAATATATGCCGGCACACAGACGTGAACGTTTGTGGATGTTAGCCTGTTTCAGCGTATCTGTGGATATTTTGTGCTTTTATTTTATTTTTTTAATGTTTTTATTGATTTCAGAGAGGAGGGAGAGGGACAGAGAGATAGAAACATCAGTGATGAAAGAGAATCATGCTGGATGGAGCCCGCAACCCAGGCAGAGGCCCTGACCTGAATAGAACCCGGGACCTTTTAGTCCACAGGCCAACGCTCTATCCACTGAGCCAAACCGGCTGGGGCTATTTTGTGCTTTTATATATTTGCATGTTTGTACTGTCCCTTTCCCAGCCCACATGTTTGGGTCTGGGCCTGACAATGGATGTGTCCCCGCGTGGAGCTATGTCCATAGGAATGGCATATGCAAAGATCCCGTGGCCCACGTGCCAGAGCAGCAATCCTGTCTTCCCCTTTTCCTTTCCCTGTCGTAAATTTTGAGCTCCCCCCACCCCCATTGTGATCAGTACTTTAATTCACTGCTTGGTTTTGGAAAGTAAAACTCCTAGCAACTGGGAATCTGAGGAAGCGAAAGGAAGAAGGTTCCCCTTTTGCCTGCAGACTCAGCAGAGAGATCCTCTGCCTCACAGAACCCTCCTTGCCCTGTGGTTTCCCGCAAAGGCATCCCCTGTGCCCGGAGCTGAAGAAATGCGGCCCCACCCAAGTCCGGAAAGTTCCTCCCTCGCCTGCGAAAGGCCTGCCGTTCTGCCAGATGCCTCACTTGGAGAGCTGTGGCCTGGTGAGCACTCCCTCAGGGAGCGTCTCTCTTCTGGAAGACTAAAACCACGGGCTGGGTTCTGTGTGAAGCCAAAGGGAGACAGGTGGCAAACGTCTTCCTTCCCAAACAAGAAAGTGAAAACAGGAAGGAGGAGACCCCGGGTGTTTTCTTTAAACCGAGTTAGAGCTCTAAACGCACTTACACGAAGGATGCTCATGGTTAGAAAGGCGTGCTCCTCTCTAGGGCTGTTTGGGGTACCAGGATATAAATGTGGGTGTTTGAGGATGTGTGGCTCTGTGCCAATGGGATTTTCTGCTTCTGGTATGTCAGGTGGTGTGTGTGTGTGTGTGCGCGCGCGTGTGTGTGTTTGTGTGCGCGCTCGCCCACATATGAGTGATGGGAACATTATCGTAGGAGGGAGGGGACACCCTGGGAACATACAGGATTGAGAAGGGCAAGTGGGATCCAGAGAGGGCAGAGAGGGTCAAGGTTGGAAGCACCTGGCTGGGTGGGAGGAGCCTCGTGGTAGCATTCAGGCGGGGCTGTGAGATGGAATCCAAATGCTTCGGGGGCCCAGGGTGCTGTTCACGGGCAGGTTGCACAGCGCTGGCGTGGCACAGGGTGCTGTTCACGGGCAGGTTGCATAGCGCTGGCGTGGCAGCGTCAGGGGGACTCGGAGCCTGAGCCTCCCACAAACAGAGGGGAGCGTCAGGGGGACTCGGAGCCTGAGCCTCCCACCTTGATGTCTGTCTCTCTCTGTCTCTCCTGATAGTTCTATACGATTCGTTTTCAAACATCCCTGGTCACGTCTTACAACCTCTTCCTGCTGCTCTTTTCTGCGATTCTAGCTTTGTTCCTTCATATACGTCACCTACAGTTCTGTTCTGGAGCTGGGAACTACCATGGTGGGCCCCTCGTGGGTCTGCCTGTGCTGTTCATCGCTTCTGCCTCGCTCATGGTGGCTTCTTCCCTTGTGCCTCTCGTGGGCTCTGACTGTGAGCTCACACTGGGTTGGTGTTGATCTGTGGGAGCCCTGGCGGCTTTCCTCCGGAGAGGACTTCCTTTGGCTCATTCTGAGAGCTGGGAAGTGCTACCCACCTGGGATCACTTCAGCCTCCTTCCAAGGTCCCTGGCATATACGGGACCCTCAGGGCCAGCTCCCCAACTACAGCGCGAACCTAGGAGCTCGGCACCCGGAGCAGACACCCCCTCCCAGTTCCACTTCTGCTCGCTGCTCTTGTCCTGATCTCTATTAACATCACTATTTTGTTTGAAGACCCTTGGAAATTCCCCCAAAAGCATGGAGAAATATTCTGGTACAGCATCCAGTTCATCTGTAATCAGTGGCATTCCAAGGGAGATGGTACTGGGAGCAATCTGTCCTGGGAACGGGCCATAAGGAAGTGTCTTGTCTGTAAAGCATTTAGAAACAATAATAAAGCCGACTAAACGTCAATCTGCTTTTTATTATCACCATATACCGGCACTTCTAAACAATGGCAGTGATGAAATACTCCTCCAGCCAGGGTGGGCCACGCCCACCACTCCTGCTCCCGCTGCCCGCCCCCCTCCCCCCCTCCCCCAGTATGCCACTGTTTAGAGCAAGAAGACCCTTCGAAGGGTCTAGTCCACTCTGCTGTCAGGGGTAGGAGCCCAGGCCACCTCTCTCTGTCACTTGGTTGGCTTCAGTTAGTGTATCCTCTGGTCAGTCTAGTCTAAGCCTTTTGCTCCAAAAGCCCCTGCTCTCCAACCATTTGCAAAAAGTGGGGACTTTAAAATACCTCCGCAAATTCTTTGAAACATCAAGAGGTGAGGGTCTAGGCCTCCTCCTTTTAAACCAGATGGACCTTTGTGGCCGGTTCAACCAGTGAAGCATGACAGAAGGAGCCTGGTGTGACTTCCAAAGCTAGGCTGACAAAGACCATGCAGCTGCCACTTCGTTTGCTGGAATACTTGTTCTCGAAGTCTGCAGCCACCATGTAGAGAGGATGGCAGCCATGATGGAAGGAAGCCCAAGCTAACCCATGTGGCGAGGCCGCACGGAAAGGCCCCTCCGTCCTGCAGTTGCCCTCCAGCCACCGTCTGACTGCAGCCATGTGAGAGCCCCAGAACTGTCCAGCTGAACCCTTCGTGAATTCCCAACCCACGGAAACCATGAGTGTCCATAAAATGGTGGTGGTTGTTTTTAAGCCACTGCATTTGCCAAGGATTTGTTCATTAGCAATAAATAACCAGCACACGCCTGCAAAGGGACCTCAGCACTTACTTGCACAGGCAGGAGGCAGGCTCCCCGTGCAAATGACCTCCTAAGGGAGCCCTTACCTCGATTCCATGTGCCTTTGAGGGTGACACACGCAGTCTGGTGTCCGGTGCAGCTCATGACTGACAGGGAGTCACATGGGGCTGGCTTATTCCCAGAGCAGTAGTGACACTTCACCCCGTTGGGCTGGGCTTCCTCTGGTGGGAGGGGGTATAGTCAGGGTGGGATGGGGGCCGAGGAACACATCCACCAGCCTCTGTTCTTGCTGCCTCCACCCACCACAACCCAGAACATTCTCCTCCAAAGTGTGGCCAACTGACCTTAGTCATCTCCCTCCAGCCCCTAAGGACTTATTCTGAGGAACAGCAAACAGAGCCGTGGGCGGGGCTGGCCCCACACTGTTCACTTGTCCGAAATGAGCCTTCGTGCTGGACCCTAAGGGCCCTTTGATTCATTCCACAAACATTTCTTGAGTGCCTACTGTGTACCAGGCCCTGCTCTAGAGACACAGCACTGGCCTTCCCTCAAAGACCTCAAATTCCAAAAGGGGTTAAAAATGAACCTGTTATTTCCGGTGTTAAGATCTCGTGGTATTCTGCAAAAGAGTGGGGTGGGACTGTGGGGGGGGGGGACTGTGGGGTGGGAAGCTTCTCCACCATCTGACTAATTTTCAGAGCTTTCTTAGAGATCTCAGACATTTTAAGAGGAAGCTGTTCGAGCATACTTTTCATGAGTCAAAACTAAGTCACGAGGCATTTTAATGTGGGTGTATATTGAAATACTGGCAAGTACAGAAAAGGAGACGAAAAAAGAACCATAACTATGAACAGCGCTGGCTCCTCCATGGCCACTGTCCATGTGTGGCTGCTGAGCACGTGAAAGGTGGCTGGTTCCGCTAGGGATGCGCTGTGAGTGTAAGACACACCTCATTTCAGAGGCTTCGTGTGAAAAAAGAATGTAACATTTTCATGAATAATATTGGATTGACTATGTATGTGTTGAAATGTTTCAGGTGTGTTACATTAAATAAAACATTTTATTAAAATTAACTTCACCCGTTTCTTTGTAAATTTTTTAAAATCCTCACCCAAGGACAAGCTTAGAGAGAGGAAGGGAGAGAGAGAGAAACATCGATGTGAGAGAAAAACATCCACCGGCTGCACTCCGTACGGGCCCGACCAGAGATCGAACCACAACACAGGTTTGTGCCCCATCGGGGACGACGCTCAACCAACTGAGCCATCTGGCCGGGCTCTTTGTAACTTTTTGATTTGGCTCCTGGAAAAGCTTCCATTACATACACAGATAACATTCTATTTTACTGGCCGGCGCTGCTGTTGATCCTCTACCAAGAGACAATTACCCGAGCCCTGGCAGGGTGGCTCAGTAGGTTGAGCGTCATTTTGTGCATCAAAAAGGCTGCAGGTTTGATCCAGTCAGGGCACATACCCAGGTTGCCAGTTTGATCCCTAGTTGGGGTGGGCACAGGAGGCAGCCGATTGATGTTTCTCTCTCATATCAATGTTTCTCTCTCTCTACCGCTTCCTCTCTCTCTAAAATAAATAAAAACATATCCTTAGGTGAGGATTAAAAAAGGCAATTACTTGAGTATTTCGAGATAGTCCCTTTGATCCTTCTCTACTCATAGTAGTTTTGTTCAAAGCAGTTTCCATCAAAACTGCTATTTTAGCCCTAGCCGGTTTGGCTCAGTGGATAGAGTGTCGGCCTGAAGACTGAAGGGTCCCAGGTTTGATTCTGGTTAAGGGCACATGCCCAGGTTGTGTGCTCGATCCCCAGTAGGGGGCGTGTAGGAGGCAGCCAATCAATGATTCTTTCTTATCATTGATGTTTCTATCTCTCTCTCCCTCTCTCTTCCTCTCTAAATCAATAAAAATATATTTTTTAAAAAACTGACATTTTATATTCTTTGTTGTTGTTGTTGTTAATCCTCACCTGAGCATTTTCTTTCCATTGCTTTTTAGAGAGAGTGGAAAGGAGGGAGGGAGGGGAAGAGAGAGAGAGAGAGGAAAAGAGAAAGAAACATCAATGTGAGAGAGACACATCGATTGGCTCCCTCCTGCATGTTCCCTGACTGGGCCAGCGATGGAACCTGCAACCCAGGTACATTCCCTCGACCAGGAATCAAACTCGAGACCCTTCAGTGTGCAGGCCGACCCTCTCACCGCTGCTCAGAGAATGTAAAATCAAACCGCGACGTCCTGGTTCACCGGCCAAGGCATGATGCTTTATATTCTGAATGGCATGCCCACCTCTCGACTTGGACTCGGATGTTTTTTGATTGAGGTACATAGTTTAGGAGGAGGGGCACCCCAGTAGATTGAAAGGATGGCCAGTAGCCCCAAGTGTCCCCATTGCTACCCCAGCCTAATGCAAATTCCTTCTTGGAAGAAATTACCAGCCACAAAAAGCAATCATCACCACTCAGAGCCAGGTCTAGAGTGAGGCCAGCAAGGTGCTCGCTGTCGGTGGTAGGAGGGCAGAGTCAGTGCATGAGCGTGAACACGTCCTTAAATCGTGCACCCCCGGCACCTCGCTGGCTCGCCCCACCTGGGCCTGCGACCACCCATAACATTGCTTGTTCTGTTCAACTCGCCCTCGGGGAGCCCCTCTCAGGAGAACAAAGAGTCTGGGGCTTCCCTCCAGCCCCCAATGACTCAACAAGCACAGCTACAATTTACGGAGTGCCTGCTATATGCCAGCTTTGTGGTGGAGGCACCCTTTGCAAAACTTAGTTCACACCCATTTTCCAGATGAGAAGACTGAGGTTTTCCTTGCTCTGACTAGCCAGGCAGAGCTTGAAACGGAGGTCACGCTCCACCCAGCTGTGTGACAAACCTGGTCGTGCAACCCTGCTGCAGTTGTTGTCACAACAGGCTGTGCTGAGACTCGAGTTGGGGGCATAGGTCAGGGCGTAGACACCTTCTGGGCATTCCTTCGGGGCCACACACGACCCGTTCTTGATGAGAGTCCCATTCTCTAAGGATAGAGGTTGAGGAGGGGAGATTAGAGACGCCCAAGCCCTCCCAGAGGTCAGTCTGGGACCTCAACTGGTGTTGAGACCACCCCTGCCCGCCCCCCAACAGTACTGAGCCGAGCTATGAGGCAGAGTTTGGAGCCTCCAGTCCCAGGGTGGCTCACCCATGACTCTCCCCTCCGACCCCTGCCCACCCACGTTGCCCATCCTCTCTGCCCAACCCCGTCCCGTCTCTACCCAGCTGCATCTGGCGGAACAAGCAGGAGTCCTTGGCGGGAGGACAAACGGTCTCTCTACAGTTTCCTGGCAAAGAGCAGGCTGGACATGTCGTGGAGGTCCCTGTGGGGAGAAAGGGGTGATCAGACCTGCTATTGAGGGGAGAGAGGAGGAAGATCACACACACACACACACACACACACACACACACACGACCAAGAACAGGACTAAGGCTGGGTGGGAGCGGGGTAGGGCTGTTGGGAGAAGATCAAGGAACATCTCCCTGGAGGTGCAGAAGCCTGGGGTGGGGGTGGAAGAGCGTGGGCAAGGCGTGGAGGTGGGAGTCAGCGCGCCAAGCAGGAGCTGCTGGCGGTCTCCCTCCAACCCACCGGCTCTGCCCGTGGAACCCTTTCCCTGAATAGCTCCTCCCTCGAAGGCCCAGAAGGGAACATGTAAGAGTGGAATTCTCCTCTTAGGCTGGGCTGGGGAGAATCGCCTCTGTCCAGTCAGCCTCATTCCTTTTTTTAAAAAAAAAAATATATATATATATACACTTATTTTTATTGATTTCCAAGAGGAAGGGAGAGGGAGAAACATCAGGGATGAGAGAGAATCGTGGACCGGCTGCCTCCTGCACGCCCCACACTGGAGATGCAGCCCGCAACCCGGGCAAGTGCTCTGCCCAGGAATGGAACAGTGACGTCCTTGTTCACAGGTTGATGCTCCACCACTGAGCCGCGCCCGCAGCCAGTCTGCTCGACCTCAGGGAGGCCCTGAGGCTCTTCTAAGAAGTGTTTCTTTTTCTTTTTCCCAGAAGCTTCAAGGCTCCAGGAAGCACAGCTGGAAAACGCTGCCCTTATTGCACACCTCCCTCTCAGAGAGGAGGGACCTGAAGCCAGACCGACTTACAGTCTCACCCAAGATCACACGGCATCGCACCGTGGGGTCCCGGCTGCTTCAGTCCCAGCCCGGCCACTGGTGGCACATTCAGAACCAAAAGGGCCGATGGGAAGGCAAGGGAAGGGAAGAGTAATAATTACTCCTGATATAACAAGAGCGCCCCTTCAGACAGGGCTACGGATGGCCCGATACCATTCTAAGCTCTTTAAAATGTCCTCAAACGTATCAATTCAATGAATGCCCCCAACAGCCCTCCGAGGCAGGGTCTCTATCACCCTCATCTTGATAGCTGGGGACCTGAAGCACAGAGAGGTTCAGTGGCTTGCACCCAAGGTCACAGCTAAGAAGTGTCAGAGGCAGGATTTGAACCCAGGCATCTTGGCTCCAGAACCAAGTCTGCGCCCTCCCTTCCGCTGCCTCTGGGAGACAACAAGCAGAGGTGGAGCGAGCTGGGGCTCAGACTCAGAATCCCCCCCACTCCCCCGCCCGTGATGGTGGGTCCCCCCTGCTCTCCCTGGGATCCCACACAGTGCCCCTACCTGTGGGAGCAGCCAGCGCTCCTAGGAGCGCCACAGCAGAGAGGAGCCGGAGCATGATCCAGGCCGGAGAGGAGGAAGCAGGATAGGGTGCCCTGGCCTTTTATTCAAGGTCCTTGGCTGGGGTGGCAGCCCATGAGCAGGGAAAGCAAACAGGCTGGGGAGATAGCAGCCCCACCCACCATCCTGGCCCATGGGGTCACCTGGTGGGGAGGGGCTTAGGGAGCATGGAGATGGGGAAACTGAGTTCTAAGAGGCCCGTGGGAGAGTCCCTGGCTACTCAGTGAAGCCAAAGAAGGAGAATGAGTGTTGTTGTTGTTGTTGTTGTTGTTACTATTATTAACAGGGTTGCCTGGTCATTCCAGAGAGACGCTAGCTCACTGACTCCTTACAGCAGTCTTACGTGCCACTATCATCAAACCCAGGAGAGATATTCAAAATATTTTCCCATCAGTCAGTATCAGCCAGGACACGCAGCAGTAACGACTCTGCCGGCGTGCTGGAAAGCATCCTGGTGGCCTCCACTCACCTGGAGTTTCCCTTTCAGTTGCTGGAGCATGGGGTGCTGGAGGACCCCTGACGTGCTATGGGGGGACGGGCGGCGGGGGGGGTCTTGGGTAGCCAATTTTCACCAACCAAATCTGGAAGTAGCTCAATATTTTACCAACTGGTACAGCTGAAATCAGCCCTGAGTTTCCCCGTTGTATAGAAAAGGAAAATAAGGCTCACTGTCCAGGGCCACAAAGTGAGGGTGTTGACTCAGCCAGAATTCGAAGCCGAGCCTCTATGACAGTGATGGCGAACCTTTTGAGCTCGGCGTGTCAGCATTTTGAAAAACCCTAACTTAACTCTGGTGCCGTGTCACATATAGAAATTTTTTTATATTTGCAACCATAGTAAAACAAAGACTTATATCTTTGATATTTATTTTATATATTTAAATGCCATTTAACAAAGAAAAATCAACCAAAAAAATGAGTTCGCGTGTCACCTCTGACACGCGTGTCATAGGTTCGCCATCACTGCTCTATGACTTGACCACTGGGCTTCACCGAGAGAGGAGAGGAAAGACATCTGCCCCCCCCTCCCCCCACTGCTCACCCCCATGAGGCCTGCATTGCGCTGCTGCCTCTCCCTGCCTCTGGCTGGGCAGCCTCGATTTGTGCAAATGCCCAGTGGAAATGGGGTCGCTCTCCACCACTGGGCGTTTCCAGCCCCGATGCGTGGTCTCCGTCAGGCACCTCTTCCTGGTCAGGCACCTCTTCCTGATCTGTGAGTCCCCTCTGGGCACCTCCTCTCCTTTGAGATGTAACTGGGGCCTCATTGTGTTCACCCCAGGATCGACAGTTCCTGTTGGGGGATCCGTGCTAATGATGCTCAGGCTTCAAACCACCCGGAGCCACAAGGCCTGGGTTCAAGTTCCAGCTCTGCCACTTCAAGCTGGACAGCCGTGGGCAGGCCTGTCAGCCCCCGCAGCCTCGGTTTCCTCATTTGTCAAGCAGGGCGAGTAGGGGGCCCCACGTCTCAGGGCTGTGAGGATTCAGTGAGCTGATGTGGTAGATCTCTGAGAACACGGGTGCCCCGTGGCATCCTCACTACCTAGCAGCGGGCACTGCAAGCTGGGGTGGACCCCTCCCCTGGCTCGGAGGAGAGATCCCTCGCGAGTGGAAGGACCAGGCCAAGGTGACGCCCAGGCCTGTCACGCTTCCCAGGCTCCAGGGCAGGGGCCCAGTCAGTGTGTACAGTCGAGGAGCGTGCTTTGGAAGGGGCCGCCCTAAGGGGAGAAGATAAGAGCCTGGGGGTGGCTTTTCCCTGGGGTGGGAGGGGCTGTGACAGGGAGAAGTTTGGGGAGAAGGCCCACCTCCTCCCAGGTGAGCTCTGGGTCCAGGAGGAACGGGAAGAAGGAGGAGCAGGTCCCCGATCTGGAGTCTGGAGTTGCGGGGGAGGGAGCAGCTCCAGGTGCTGCGTGACTGGGAGAACCCAGCCTCCTGAAAGGCTGGCTGATAACTCGGGCTGGTAAACAGGCCGGGTCTGCACAAACAGGAGGCTTGCGGGGTAAAGAGCGTGGAGGACGGGAGGCAGGCAAGGGACGTTTCCCCGCCCTTAATTGGAAACCGGGAGGCAAGGGGACCGCAGAGGCGTTGCTTACTGCGTCTACAAGCAAACAGGGGCACGTGCACCCCCTTTTACACACGACGCTACGCACTGCTGTGCCCCTAGATGTTTTCACTTGACAATAATGTAACCTGGTTTGCATAGTTTTGCATCATTTCCTCTTGCCTTTTTCCGGTGGATAGATAGGCCTCTTGTGCAGTTAGCTGTTTTCCCACCACTTAGTATTACAATCTGTGTTGCAATGAAGGATTTTGTGCTCATAGCATTTCATAGGTGCACCCCCCCCCCAAGTGGTAAGTGGTTTTGCTATATCCAAAGGTCTTGCTACATTTGTGATTATGAGAGCAGTTGCGAAACGACCCTGTTAGGTCGGAGAGAGCCCAGGATCGGATACATGCAGATAATGGACTCCCCCTGGCATTTCTAACAGATCAGCGCGCCAGACACAGATACTGACTCCTTCCTGAATACCTTGCTGACCCCCTGCAGCTGACACTTCCTCAGCTGAATACCTCAGCTTCATGTCCCCGCCCCTCACCCAACCGCAGTATAAAAAAAGC